TTGTTCTACGGACATGTCGTGGTATAGGCCTCTGGGAGTATCCCGGCATGGTCGAGGAGGAGGAGGAGGAGGAGGAGGAGGAGGAAGAGGAAGAGGAGGAGGAGGAGGAGGAGGAGGAGGAGGAGGAGGAGGAGGAGGAGGAGGAGGAGGAGGAAGAGGAAGAGGAGGAGGAGGAGAGGAGGAGGAGGAGGAGGAGGAGGAGGAAGGAGGAGGAGGAGGAGGAGGAGGAGGAGGAGGATGTGGCGGAGGGGCAGGCAGCAGCAGCAGCAGCAGCAGCAGCAGCAGCAGCAGCAGCAGCAGCAGCAAAAGGGGGCGGGCGGGAGGAGAACGAAGGAGCGGAAGGCGGGGCGCCGCGAAGCCCTGCCGCGGCCTCCTCTCGGCTCCGACGGGGCCGCCCGGGGAGCCCGCGCAGGGAGCCGCCCGCCGCGCGCCCGCCGCCGTCCGGGGGGGCCCGCGCTCCTCGGCCCTTGGAAGCCGAGGAAATGGGCGCGAGGAGAGGGGAGCGAGGGAGGATGAGGATAGGAGGAGAGGAGGAGGAGGAGGAGGAGGAGGGAGGAGGAGGAGGAGGAGGAGGAGGAGGAGAGGGGGAGGGGGAGGAGGAGGAGGAGGAGGAGGAGGAGGAGGAGGAGGCGGAGGAGGAGAAGGAGGAGGAGGAGGAGGAGGAGGAGGAGGGAGGTGAAGGAGGAGGAGGAGGAGGAGGGAGGAGGGGGAGGAGGAGGAGGGTGAGGAGGAGGAGGAGGACGAGGAGGAGGAGGAGGAGGAGGAGGAGGAGGAGGAGGTGAGGAGGAGGAGGAGTAGTGAGGAGGAGGAGGACGAGGAGGAGGAGGAGGAGGAGGAGGAGGAGGAGGAGGAGGAGGAGAAGGGAGTGAGGAGGAGGATGGAGTAAGGGGGAGGAGGAGGAGGAGGAGGAGGAGGAGGAGGAGGAGGAGGAGGAGGAGGAGGAGGAGGAGGAGGAGGAGGGAGTGATGATGAGACTTGTCCTGCGAACGTGTAGGGGGTGAACCACAGAGTCCGTTCCATTTCGCTCAAGCCTTTACCTCCAGGGAGCACCTGAGTTTCTCTACGCCCTCCGCTCCCGCAGGCTCCTCCGTGGGTGATCGCTGTGCCTGTTGCGCCCTGGACAGCCGCCCTCGGCGGTACTGCAGCCCGCGGCGGCGGCGCGCGAAGCGGAGCGAGCGTCCGCCTATGTGCGCTCGCAACCTGCGGGGTTGTCTGTACGAGACCGCGCGGCTGCACGCGGAAGTGTCCCTGCTGTCCACGGAGCTCCGCGAAGTTCGTTCGCTCCAGGCCCAGCAAGGCTCGGACGCGGGGCCGTTTCTACGCGCACACCCTAGGGCTCGTGGTGTCGGGCGTCGCTACGCAGATCGTGGGCGCGTGCGGGGATTATCGCAGTCGACATGAAGCTGATGCCGCGCATGCAGTGGCTCAGGGCCGAGAGGAGCGCCGCCGAGTCAGCGGAGATCTTCAATGAGCTGTTGCCAGGCCGCGTCGTCACCTTTAACTACGGCGACGACCGCGGGATCTGGCACGAGTGCGTGCTGATCTGGCTTGCCGATTCGCAGCGGACTGCGATGAGGTGGACCATCCTCGCGCCCGATGGAGACATTTACGACGAGGGGATAGCTAGCGGCGCGGACGGGGACGGCCCTGACAAGGCGTCGCTGACCTTCGGCGCCACCCCTGCGCGGCAGCGGCCCGCGGGCCGCGTCTACCGGTTCCACGCCTACTCCTCGGAGCCCGAGCTGCTGGACACGGTGCGAGCTGCTCTGCGTGACGTGCGGGCCGCGGGGCTGGACGTCACCGAGCCGTCGAGGTACGTGCGGAACGGCGAGGTGCTGGGGGGCTACACCACTGTCAGCTTCGGTGAGGTGCCTGGCTTCTCTCGGCGGCTGGCTTGGGAGGGACCCGCGCTTGCGCGGGCGGCGGCCGCCGCCCCGCCACCAGCTCGCCCGCCCTTGCCCGCGCTCGCCACGGCGCCGTCGGGGCTCGAGGACGACGCTGACGAGGGGCCTGCGGCTTGCGGTGGTGCCGCTACCCCGCCGCCTGGGGCCGTCGGCGCCCGCGTGCTGGTCAGCGCGGAGGCGCCGCCTTCAGGGATGACGTGGACTGCTGCCGAGGCGGCGGGGCCGGAGGTCGAGCACGGCGACGTGGTCCTCCCGCCCGCGGGCGACGTCATCTGGGGTGAGAGCGGGCGTCGCGGTCTGGCGTCTGGTGTCATCGTGCCCATGGAGCTGGTTGCCGATACCTCTCCCATCTGGCCAGGTAGTGAGGAGGACGACGACGCTCGTCTCCTGGGCCCACTCACCAGGAACCGTGAGGGACGACGCCCCCTCGACTCCCGCGAGTCGGTGGCGCAGATGCGGCAGGAGCTGCTCGACGATTTCCCGCAGACGGGAGAGCGGAGCTGTAAGTAGCTCTGCGAGTACATCGTCGGGCACGGCGAGACGCCGCATGGCCGCCAGACCAGGTGGATGAGCGAGAGCGGCTGCACGAAGGACTCGGATGCGGCTCATTTTCACGACCTCCTCGGGCTCGCGATCGAGTTCGCGCAGACCTACGATCAGGTGGGCGGCTCAGACCTGGCCTGCATGGACATGGTGCCAAGGACGTACCGCTTGTCGAGAAGACCATGAGCAGCATGAAGATCGGTGGAGGCAAACTATGTCGGCCGCCTGGAGCAGAGTGCCCGCCGCGGGGTCGCGGCTGCGACAAGCTTGGCCAAGCGCGCGACCGAGCAGCACGCCAAGGGGACAGATCCTGAAGCAGAGGAGGAAGGCGCGCGAAGAGAAGAGCGCCTCCTCAGGCAAGAAGGGACAGGGGTTGACTGGAGTCAGCGGGCGGGAGGTAGCTCGACCCGTCCGCCGTTTCACGAGAGCCAGTTTTGTCGGCCTGTTGATGGCCACCCTCCTGGCGACGGGGTGCTGCCCTTTGCTGTACCTGCCGCGCCATTTGCTCCTCCACCTCAGCCTGGATTTTCCCGTTCGGTTCGGGCGCGCCTTCAACGTACTCAGTCCATTGACGAGCGTGCTCGGGACACCGTGGAGTGCCTCAATCTGCTTGGGGGCTACAGTGCGCCGCGGTGCATGCTGGGGCGCCTCTCGAGCATCGGCGATCTCCTACTCCGACGCGTCCGTCGTCTTCATTGTCAGATGGGGGCCTCCGCGGGTGCGTCGGCCCACCAAGCCTGCTCAGAGCTTTTGGGCCGTCAGCGCCTGCACTGCGACACGTCAAATGGTTTGCCGCTGAGGCCGCATGCGCCGCACCTCGTGAGCTGGCCCACTCTCGGGAACGAGTCTGGCTGGCTTGCTGACCGACTCGGGCCTGGCGATCGTTGCTCACTCCTCGACCTCAACCGCGCCTTGCTGCTGCCGTCGCCGAGCTTCGACGCAGTCGGGGAGGCGGGCGGGGGGCGTTCGTCATATATGGGCCCTGTGCTCGAGAGGAACCGCGCGATGTACACAGAGTTTGCGAAGTCAGGGATCTCCAGAGGCGTCTTCGTGGCGGGCAAGACTAGGATCGAGGACGTCGGGGTGTTCTCTGTGGCCCAGAAAGATGGCCGTATCAGGGCGGTGCTCGACTGCCGGAGGAGCAATCAATGTTTTCAGCCTCCTCCGCCAGTCAACCTCTTCACCGCCGCGGGCTTCGCGGATTTGGAGGTGCCCGAGGGGGCCCCGCTCTACTTCGCGGGGGTTGACGTCCAGAACGCTTTCTACCGGCGCAAGCTGCCCGCCCACCTGCGGCCGCTCTTCTGCCTGCCCGCGGCCGCCGCCGGCGAGCTTGGCATCGGCAGGCTGGGCGGGCGCCGCGCGTCGCAGTCGGCGCGCCTGCGCCCGCGGCTGGCGGTCGCGCCGACGGGCTGGAGCTGGGCCCGCTGCTTCGCCCAGGGATCCCACGAGCGCGTGCTGGGCGGCTGCTGCGCCTGAGGCCTGACCTGCGCGCGGTCGACTTCGCGCCGCCGCTGTCGCCGCTCGACGAGCCGATCCACTCCGTCTTCGTCGACAACGCGCTCGCCGTGGGCTCCGACCGCGAGGAGGTGACGCGCGTCAGGCGGTTGGCTTCGGAGTCGCTGGAGGCGGCTGGGTTCGTCGTCCACGACGAGACCAACGCCTCGGAGTCGACGGCGAGGCTGGGCGGGCAGCTGGAGGGGTGGCCCGCGCGCGCCACGCTGGCGTCGAAGCGCTTCTGGAAGTTCCACCTGGGTCTGGGCTATTTGGCGCAGCACCGCCCCAGGGTCACCAGCCCCGACATCGAGCGCGTCCTCGGCCACTGCGCCTTCGCGGCCCTCTGCTGCCGCGAGAGCCTCAGCTGCTTCAGCGCCGTGTGCGCGTTCGCGCAGCAAGGCTACCAGCGCGCTCGGCCACTCTGGGCGTCCGTGCGGAAGGAACTCAGGATCTTCCGCGGGGTGCTGATCACACTGTGCGCCCAGCTCGATGCCCCCTGGTCGCCACAGGTCGTGGTGACCGATGCATGCGAGATGGGCCGCGCGTCGATGGTCGCCGACTAGGTGACAGAGGACGTGACTGCTGTTGGCCGCTGGCACGAGAGGTGGCGCTTCCGCCACACCCGCGAGGAGGGCGGCAGCTGGCGGCCGCGCGACCGCGCGGCCCGCGCGGCCGAGGCCGCGCTTCTAGACGGCGGGCCGTCGTTTGCAGCGTTGAGTGGCGAGTCTAGTGCACACTTTCCTGACGTGTCTGCGCGCGTCCTCCGCCGCACCAACTGGAAGCTGCTGCACTGCGCCCCCCTATCGAGGAAAGAGCCCATGAGTCGAAAAGAGGCAAGAGGAGATCTGCACGCCGTCAAGTTGATCCTTTAGGACGCGGATTCGTGGGGGAAGAGACATGTGGTCTTGGGAGATAATCTGGCGCTTGCACTTGCACTTTCCGAAGATCGTTGCCGCTATATTTACTTGCTCAATATTATTCGTCGAGGGGCCCCCTTCACCTTGGCCGCGGGCACCTACATGTTTAGACGATGGGTGCCGAGCGAGCTGAACGGTGCCGATGGCGCCAGCCGTGCCCCCGAGCGTGCTGACGGACGCCGTGCAGCCGCTGCGGACTGACGAGAGCTCGCTGCGCAGGGCCGACAGCTGCGGTCGCACCGCGCCACCTGCGGCGGCTCGCAGGCAGACGAGGGCCCCCCTGAGCTTCATAAAGCCCCTTGCTGCCGCCGGCACCTGTGCGCGCTGCGTGCGTGGGCGCCGGTGGCTCGCGTCGCACGGTCGCGGATCGGGGCCGCCCAGGGGGCGACGCTCGCGAGAGCGGAGCGCCCGACGGGCGACCGCGTGCCACGGGCGCCACCGGCAGGGCCGCAGCTGAATCTCATCGTCGCGATAGCCATGCACGTGCCCGGCTACCAGAGCAAGGGCCGCCTGGCACTTCTTCGAGCGCGACGCGCGCTGCGGGGCTGGCTACTACTGCGGCATCCACGAGCCCGCCGCCCGCTGCCGCGGGCTGCCTGAATGGGCATCGCGAGGAGGCTCTGGCAGATCGGTGGCAAGCCCCAGATGGCGTTGTACTGGCTGCTGAAGGTGGACACTTACCTCCGGTCTGGCGAAGCACTACGATCGACCAAGGGCCAGGCGTGTTCGCCGCAGGCGAAAATGCAGAAGGTGACGATGCGCTTCAATCCAGACTACCTCAAGAAGCCCAGCAGGACAGGCGAGATGGACGAGACCGTCGGCGTCGCCCGTCCTTGGCTGGCCTCGCTGATCGTTCGACGAAGCCTTGGCGACCCGACGGGGCCGCTCTGGGACTTCACGACGCGCGAGGCCAAGAAGACCTTCGACAGTGCCTCCGAGCCCTCCGACCTCGCAGGAGTACGACCTGTGCTGTACATGACGCGGCACAGCGGGGCCTCGATCGACACGTCCACGGAGAGGATCTCGCTGCTCGGGGTCCAGCGCCGGGGCAGGTGGTCTCCTGGTGCCCACTGTCTTGAAACGCGTACTTCGGATGATTCGGAGCGACAAGTGTCTTGGGTTTCTTGCGGGCGCCCCCTGCAAGAGCTTCTACGCTATTCGCAGCAGTTCTCATCCCCTTGGCCCCCTTCGCTCCCTCCTTCTCTTCAGGCAGTGGTTGACGAGGGCAAGTCCTACAGGTGTCTATTCAGATATTACGAGCTTGCCAACAGATGCGTGTTCCTTTTTAAGGGAGAACCCACAGTCTTCCTACATGAGGAGAGTCGACTCCGCCCGTCGTGTATCACGTTGGGCAGGAGTGCAAGACGTCATTGCCGATTATTGTGGCTGGGGAGTGCCGCTGTGCAAACCGACCAGGTTTTTTTTTTTTTTTTTTTGTTTTTTGCCTAGTGTCGTGGATCTTTCTAAGCGGTGCCACCCGGTCCGAGGAATATGCACGTTTCCTGACAAGAAACACAAAATTCTTCAGGGCCGTGATGGCTTCGGTGTGCGCTGGCCTGCTCGCGCCGCCGCATATCCTCAGGTTTTGTGTGATGCCATGGCCGATGTCTTTGTGGATGCCGCTTTTGACCGCGTCTTTCTGCAGAACCTCCACGTGCTCCCCTTTCGCCCTCCCAATCCCAACAGTTGACGTTCTCAGCAGAGCCGAGTGCGAGTTATGGACGCTCGAGGTCTGGCGATCTGTTCAGTTTCAGTTGTCGTGATTCGTTCGCTGTCGCTGCTGGCCGTCGCTGTTCACGATTGGGTTTCACACTACATGCGGATGACAGATCGCATAGCTCTGAAAATCAAGGCCGGGCGGGGGACCTCCGACTTGTCCTGCGAACGTGTAGGGGGTGAAGCACAGAGTCCGTTCCATGTCGCTCAACCCCCCCACCCTCCCACTCTGTGTCTATGGTGCTCGACTTCCCGCCCTAGTTCACGGCGGGCCGCAAGCACAGTTTTGAGCGGCGATTTGTTCAGCTTCAGTTGTCGTGATTCGTTCGCTGCCGCTGCTGGCCGTCGCTGCTCACGATTGGGTTTCACACCACATGCGGATGACAGGTAGCATCGCTCTGAAAATCAAGGCCGGGCGGGGAACCTCCTGATGATGATGATGTTGATGGGCATCATCATCATCATCGTCGTCGTCATCACCGTGATGACGATGATGTTGTCGATTATGATTATGATCGTCATTGCGATGCTGATGTTGTCGATGATGAGGGTACGGGCGGTGATGACGATGATGATGCTGATGATGATGATGATCGCGATACTGATGATGATGCTGCTAATGATGGTGATGCTGATGATGTTGATGGTGGCGATGACGAGGCTGCTGCAGATGATGATGATGCTGATGATGATGATGATGATGATGATGATGATGCTGCTGCTGCTGACGATGATGATGATGATGATGATGATGATGATGATGATGATGATGATGATGATGCTGATGATGATGATTATGGCAACGAGAAGGAGAAGGAGGGGGAGGAGGAAAAGGAGGAGGAGGAGGAGAAGGAGGACGGCCCCATACCAGCCCCTTCCGTGACGGTCCTCTCACCCTCGAGCTTGTCCCCCTGGCCGTTTGCCCACGTCTTGGAGGAAAAGGGTAAAGGCAGTTGTTGTATCCCCTGGCGATAACGGCCGTTACCAGGGATGGGAGGAGAGGGGTGATGAGGCTGATGATGATGAGGACGATGAGGACGTTGATGATGATGATGCTGATGATAGCGATGGTGATATTGACGACGATTATGCTGCTGCTGATGATGAAGATGATGGTAATGATGATGATGATGTCAATAATGATGATGATAGTTATGATAATGCTGTTGATGATGCGGATGTTGATGATGATAATGCTGCTGCTAATGATGATGATGCTGATGATGATGCTGATGATGACGATGATGATAGTGATGATGATGATGGTGATGCTGATGACGATGATGATGATGATGATGATGATGATGATGATGATGATGATGATGATGATGCTGATGCTGCTGCTGCTGATGATGATGATGATGATGATGATGATGAGGATGAGGATGATGATGATGATGATGATGATGATGATGATGATGATGATGATGATGATGATGATTGATGATGATGATGATGATGATGATGATGATGATGATGATGATGATGATGATGATGATGATGATGATGATGATGTGATGATGAGGATGATGATGGTAAGGAGGAGGAGGGGGAGGAGGAGGAGGAAGAGGAGGAGGGGAGGAGGAGGAGGAGGAGGAGGAGGAGGAGGAGGAGGAGGAGGAGGAGGAGGAGGAGGATGGCCCCATACCGGCTTCTCCCGTGACGGACCTCTCGCCCTCGAGCCTGCCCCCCCGCCGTCTGCCCACGTCTTGGAGGAAAGGGTAGAGGCAGTTGTTCTATCCCCTGGCGATAACGGCCGTTACCAGGGGTGGCAGGAGGGGGGGGAGGAGGAGGCGGATGCGGAGGCGGAGGCGGAGGAGGAGGAGGAGGAGGAGGAGGAGGAGGAGGAGGAGGAGAGGAAGAGGAAGAGGAGGAGGAGGAGGAGGAGGAAGAGGAGGAGGAGGAGGAGGAGGAGGAGGAGGAGGAGGAGGAGGAGGAGGAGGAGGGAAGGGCTGACAGCATCACGATTCGCGCCAGTGCGGCGCGGGAGTCAGCTGCCGCCAGCGCGAACCGTGACGTTGCCATGTGCGGGGAGGGGGAGGGGGGGGGGGAGCATCCCCGGCAACGGCCGTTATTGCGAATCGCAAAGAATAGCGCTCGTACAAAGACCGACAGCATGGCTTGTCGGTGTAGCCGCGGACGTTGGCCCCATTTGAAGCAGAAGGCATCAACGGCCGCTGCCGGTTTTGGACAAGGTTGGGCAGCGTGCAATGGAAACCCATGCCAAGAAATGCACTGCCTGCCTCCAGGGTGCCCTGGGTTTCTTGGGTTTCGATGGTCCTGCTGTGGAAGGCGTGACGCTCCCGCGCTCAAAAATCCATGGACGTCCTGGGGTTTCTTGTGGAAGGTTTCTTGTGGCTGGGCCCCTACTGTATTCGTTTCCTTCGTCAGGGGAACGAGAAGTTATATAAACATACAAGTTCGGAGGTGTGGGCGGATTTCTCGGGTCGGCGCCGGACCCCCTTCCCTTGCGCGCGGAGCGCGCCAGGGGCGGCGCCGGAGGCGCCGCCAGGGGGCCCCAGCGCGGATCCGAGAGGTCCGCGCGGACCTCCGAGTGGTTCTTTTTGATGTTTCTGCAACTTTTAGCTCCCCGACTATCGGGCGGGACGAAAGAGGGGGATTGGGAAAGGGGGGGTTCCGAAATCTGCTGCATGCAGCTGGTTTCGGCCCCACCGAGGGGCCCATTCCTCGATACATAGCCGCCTCTGGCGCCGGGAGGCGCCAGGAAAATCAGCTACGTGAGCTGATTCTCAAACCCCCCCTTTGCTATCCCCCCCTTTCGCCCGACCCGAGACGACTGTGTTCGTGCTCTTCGTGCCCGTTTCGGGCGTCCAGGGCCCCGACCTCCGAGCTCGGCGCCGCCGCGGCCTCCGCGCGGGCGCGCCTGCTCGCCGCGATGTCCGGGTCCGGCCGCTCGCCCAACAGGAGGGCTCGAGGACTATCGTTAGGTCGGGCATGTCTTCCTATAGGCAGATTTTGGAGGAAAAACGAAAACAAATGAGAACATCTTCAACAAAATGCCCAACATTGTCCAAATCTCGTCCCCTGACTATGTTTTGACGATTTTGGAGTATTCCTCCAGTGCAGGGACACGCCTGACTTAAGACTATCAACCCAGACAGCCGAGGCCCAGGAAAAGCAGCAGCGCGGCCGGCTTGGTCAAGCAGTAACGAAGCGTACTGGCTCGCCTATAGGCTCACCAGAGACTGGTGCGAACCGGGGGCGAGCCAGAGAGCGCTGGATGCTTGGCAGGCTCCTGCAGGGCCAGGGGTGCATCGACCCCGGCTAGTGTGCAGGATCCTGCAAGATCCTGCAGGATCCTGCAGGATTTGGCTTGCCACCGCTGCCGCGCCAGTCCCTCCCCCGCCTCCGCTCTGCCCGTCCCCTGTGCCTCCTCCTTGCCTCCTCCTCGCTTCCTCCTCCTCTTCCTCGCCTCCTCCTCCTCCTCCTCCTCCTCCTCCTCCTCCTCGACTCGTCGTCGTCGTCCTCCCTCCTCCTGTTCTCTCCTCTCCTCCTCCTCCTCCTCCTCCCCTCCTCCTCCTCCTCCTCCTCCTCCTCCTCCTCCATCTCCTCCTACTCTCCTCCTCCCCCTCCTCCACTCCTCCTCCTCCTCCTCCTCCTCATCCTCCTGCTCCTGCTCCTGCTCCTCCTCCTCCTCTTTTTCCTCCTCCTCCGCCCCCTCCTTCTGGCGCCTCTTCCTCGCCTCCTGACTGACCCCTGCAAGTAGATCCCCGACAGGCGTGGCGGCCAGGTGCTGCCCCGAGCCGCCTGGCACACGGCCTGGCCCGTGTCCCTCAGGTGCGTCCAGCCGTGGCGGCGGGCCTTTTCCCCCGGCGGCCCTGAACGGGAGGAGGAGGAGGAGGAGGAGGAGGAGGAGGAGGAGGAGGAGGAGGAGGAGGAGCAGAAGGAGGAGGAGGAGGAGGAGGAGGAGGAGGAGGGAGGAGGGAGAGACTCGCGGCCCTTCGCCTGTCTCTCCCTCCCCCTGCCGCCGGGGAGTCTTGGTGCGGCGGCGGCCCCGGGTTACGTGTGGTGCTGGTGATGGCGACGACGATGAGGATGATGACTGATGAGGCTGCTGCTGCTGCTGATGGCGACGGTGATGACGGGTGCGATGGTGATGACGATGGTTATGGTGATGATGATGATGATGATGATGATGATGATGATGATGATGATGATGATGATGATGCTGATGTTGATGCTGATGCTGATGCTGATGCTGATGCTGATGCTGATCTCGAGAATGATGATGACGATGATGATGCTGATGCTGATGCTGGTGATGATGATGATGATGATGATGATGATGATGGTGACATGATGATGCGTATACTGATGATGACGAGTATGATGATGGTGGTGGTGGTACTGTTGATGATGATGGTGATGCTGCTGCTGATAATGCGAATGATACCGCTTATAATGACGTCGTTGCGGTTTGAGGGTGCTGATGGTGTTACGGTGGTGTTCATGATAATGACGATGCTGCTGATCAGGATGCTTTCTTATGGTGATACTGTTCATGACGATGCTGCTGTTGATCGTGGTGGTTATGATGATGTCGATGACGGTGACATTGATGATTATGCCTGTGAAAATGATGGTGATGGTAATCATGCTGATGATGTTGCTGATGACGATGATGTTAATGGTGATGATGACGATGATGCTGATTATGCTGATGATGGTGAACATGGTAATGGAGATTACCAGGATGAACACGGTTTTGATGATGGTAACAAGTACTAGTATGATGATGATGACGATGATGATGAGGCCGATCATGATAGGACTGATGATGTTGTTAACGATGCTGGTGACGATAATGAAAGCCGATGCTGACGAAGCATGAATGTGGTGTGGTGATGCTGCTGATGCTGCTGGTGCTGCTGCTGCTGATGATGATGGTGATTATGATGCTGATGATGCTGATGCTCATGCTGATGCTCATGCTGATGATGATGATGATGATGATGATGATGATGATGATGATGGTAATGATGATGAGGCTGACGATAATGGTTGTGTTGCTGATGACGGTGTAAATGGTAGTGGTGAGAATGAGTGGTTTCCTCCCATCTCCTCTCGTCTCTTCTCTTCTCTCAGCTCCTCCCCCTCTTCGGGCTCCTTTCACCTCCTCTCCCGTTCCCCGGTCGCCTAGGTCCTACAGCCCGACCTTCTTCATGCACTTCCCGAAGTACCACGCGCCGCACCTGAAGCCCGGGGAGGAGGCGAAGGACCACCCAATCGGCCACAGGCAAGAGTGACCCTTCGCTGGAGTGGCCTCTGGTGCGGGCCCGCCGGGTCCTCACGATCGCTGAAGCCGACGCCCTGGCAGCGTCTGGCGCGCCTCGGTCTGGTCCCCGGCGCCTCCCGAACGCCGCGCGCCCCGAGTCTCTCCTGCCCAGGGTCACTCTTGCGCGTGGCCGACTCCGCGACAGGGGCGCCGGTCGCCCTCCTGCGGCTGCTCGTCCTCCAGCCCTCTCGCCGCCTGCCGCCCCCTCTGGCTTCCACAGCCTCCGCGCCTGCTGCCTCCCCGCTGCGGCTCCCTCCTGCTGCTGCTGCTGCTGCTGCTCCTCCTCCTCCTCCTTTCCTCCTCCTCCCCCTCCTCCTCTTCCAGCTTCTCCTCCTGTTCCTCTTCCTGCCGCTCCTCCTCCAGCCTCGTGCCGTCCGCCAGCGTCGTGCGCGGGCGTGCGATTCTCGGCGGGCCTCCGAGGAGCCGCCTCGCTTGGACCGCTCCTGAGGTGGGCGCTCCTGCACCCGCCTCCTCGGCCCCTCCTGCCGCTGCGGCTCCCCCTCTCCTGCCCCCTTCCCTCACGTCCCTCTCTCTCTCTCTCTTTCTCTCTCCCCCCTCTTCCCCATGTTGTGCCTCTACCTCCTCCTCCTCCTCCTCCTCCTCCTCCTCCTCCTCCTCCTCCTCCTCCTCCTCCTCCTCCTCCTCCCCCCCGATCGTTCACGCGTGGCCGCTGCTGTTGACACTGCGCGCGGCGCCTGGCCGAGCTCCGAGCTCCTTCTGCCGCTGCAGTTCCGCTGGCCGTCAGGGCTTCCTCTCCTGAGACGCTGGGCCTCCTCCACCTTGTCCTTCCTCCTCCTGGGTCGAGGCTCCTGCCAAGTGCCCTGGCTAGGGGCTTGCCGTGCACGTCTCTCGCGCGCCGCGCCGCTTCGAGAGAGCGCCGTGCACGGCTCGCGCATGGCGCCGGTTTCCTTCTGGGCTCTTCCGCCCCACGCCAGCAGGGGGAGGACATCCTCTTGGGCTTCAGTCGGGCGTGTCCCTCTACAGGAGGAATGCTGAAAGATAGACAAACCTAGCCTGGGCACGATCTCTACACCATTTTTGTTTTTTTTGCGCGTATTTTCTTCTGGGGGGGGGGACTGTTTTTCGATCTCCGCCCAAAGTCCGCCTGCAAGAGGACGTGCCCGACCCAATCCTGGGCCGCGAGAGCCTGCTGCGACGGCCGCTGAACTTCAGGAGGGAAAGACACACACACACACAGACGCAGTTGATCCTCGATCCCCCAGAACAGGTGGGAAAATATGGGGAGTGGGGGGGGAAGACAAAAACTCAGGAGATATGGGGAAATACGGGGAATGCTGTTATTTGTGTCTATTTATTTGTGTGTCCCAGGGCCTCTTCATGAGCCCTTGATCCCATGATCCGGAGCCGGATCGCAAAGACCCTGCTAGGGTCACTCTTGATTGTGCTCGTTCGGCAAGGAAGTGGCAAAGAAGGAGGGGTAAGGACGGGGAGGAGGACGAGGAGGAGGAGGAGGAGGAGGAGGAGAAGGAGGAGGAAGATGAGAATAACGATGATGATGATGATGATGATGATGATGATGATGATGATGATGATGATGATGATGATGATGATGATGATGATGATGATGGTGATGCTGCTGATGATGATGACGATGATGATGAGGATGATGATGATGACGATGCTGCTGATTATGGTGATGATGATGACGATGCTGCTGATGATGATGCTGGTTATGATGATGATGATGATGATGATGATGATGATGATGATGATGCTGCTGATGATGATGATGATGATGATACTGATACTGATACTGATACTGATACTGATGATGATGATGCTGAGGAGGAGGAGGACGAGGAGGAGGATGAGGAGGAGGAGGACGAGGAGGAGGAGGACGAAGAGGAGGAGGAAGGGGAAACGGAGGAGGTGGGAAGGAGAGGAGGAGGGGGGGAGGCTCGTAATGTATACGGGCGTGGGGAAGAAGGATTCGACTGAGGAGGGCACATGCATCAAGAGGGAGACGGGGATGCACATACGCATATGTAGATACACACATATGGAGATTGGATGTGCAAGCGTCGATCACATAAGAGGGAGGGGTGGACAGAAGGAGAAAGGGTTATCTGACAAGAGGGAATCAGAGAGCGACACAGAGTGGAGATAGGGCTGTGTATTCATGCAGCGGGATGGTGCGATCGATCGAGCGAGAGAGGAGTTGGAAAAAGAAGAAGAGAAAGATATGGAGAGATGAGGGATGCTGACGATTAGTATGGTGGTGGTTGTGGTGACGATGCGTAGGAGAAGGAGGAGGAGTAGAAGGCGGAGAAGGCAGATATGATGGTGTGATGAGATGAGGGATGAGCGATCAGGGTGGAGATATTGTGAGGAAGAAGAGGGCGAGGATGATGAGAAGGAGGTGCAAGAGTAGAATGCATATCAGGCTAATGTAGAGGAAAGGGTCAATGGACGACATGATCGGGGCTGGCTACGGTGACCTTGATGGTAATGTTGATGGTTCTGCTGTTGTTGGCGATGGTGATGGCGATGATGATGATGATGATGATGATGATGATGATGATGATGATGGTGATGATGATGATGGTGATGATGATGATGATGATGATGATGATGACGAAACTTGTATTAATGATGGTGATGGTGGTAATGCCGCTTCTGTTATTTATGATGGTGCTGTCGATGATGGTCATAGTGGTGATGATGATGATACTGTTGGTCGGGACGTGGTTGATTGTGATGGCGAGTGCTACGATAACTGTGGTGGTGTTGCGGTTCAGGATGATGGTGCTGGTGCTGGTGAAGATGGCGACGATGATGATAATTATGGTCATGGTGGTGATGATGATGCTGCAATTGATCATGTTCATGCTGATGCTGCAGTTTATGATGATGGTGATGCTGATGCTGATGCTGATGCTGCTGGTGATGATGATGACGATGACGATGAGGATACCGAGGATGGTGGGGAGGAAGACGATGATGATGACGATGACGATGCCGATGACGATGATGATGATGCTGCTGCTGATGATGATCAGCATCATGCTGATCACGGTGGTGATGATGATGTTGCTGATGCTGATGATTGTGATGAGGACGGCGACGATGACGATGACGATGCTGATGACGCTGATGATGCTGATGATGCTCATGGTGGTGATGCTGATTAATCCGATGTTGATTATGGTGATGTGCATGCTGATGATGATGGGGATGCTGATACTGATACTGATGATACTGATGATGAGCAGGAGGTCAAGCGAGGATGAAATACAGCGAGGAGTTGTAGCAGGAGGAAGAGAAGGTCAAGGGAGGAGGATTTGAAGGACCAGTGTAAATCCAAGATCCATTAACGACATTGCAATCAACCCCCTCCAAGCTCCCTCTTCATAGGCCCCTGCAAGAATTCAGTTTCACTGAAGGAAGTGCCCCATTGGAAAACCACTGTTTGAACATCCTGAACTTAGAATACGGTTCCTGGGACTTCAGCGCCGCGATTCACCGTTGCTGTTGCGTCTTCGCGATCCTGAATCGCGCCAGAACGCCATTCCTGGGACTTCAACACCACGAACTAACATAGCTTTTACGCCCTGACAGTCCGACATCGTGCCAAAACGTAATTTCTGGAATGGTAACCATGCGAGTCTTTGAAACAGCTGTGAACTCTTAGTGCGAACGTGCGCGACGCTGAGGCGACAGCCACATTTTGAAAAAGAGCCGCCCTCCATCCGCGAAGCTCTTGTATTTTTTTCTGACATGTGTGCGCGGCGCTCAGGCGAGAGCAACATTTTGAAATGTAAGCGCCCTCAATCCGTGAAGCTCTTGAGCACGTTCAAAGCGGAATATGCGCGGCGCTCAGGCGAGAGCCACATTTTGAAAGCGACCCGCCCTCCATCCGTGAAGCTCTTGCAATGTTTTAACCTGTATTTGCGCGGGGCTCAGGCGAGAGCCACATTGTGAGAACCACGCGTTTGGATAAGGAGGAGAAGGAGGTGGAAGGGAGGAGTAGGAGGAGGAGGCGGAGGAGGATGAGGAGGAGGCGGAGGAGGATACAGGCGGGGGGAGCCGGGTGTGGAAGGCGAGGAGGGATGGAGGGATCGCGGGGCAAGAGCTCAACTCCCCACGCGGCCCGAGGACCCTGGCGACGAGATGAAACCCAAGTGCCTCGCGGCGTGCAGCAGCTGGCTCACTGAGTACAACTCTTGCGTCCGGCGCTCTTGTTTTCCGTCGGCGCGAGGAGCAACGAGAAGGAGGGGGAGGAGTGGAGGCGGAGGATGGCGAAGGAGGAGGAAAAGGAGGAGGAGGAGGAGGAGCAGCAGAAACAGCTCTATCATCACCGATGATGATGGGGTAGAGGAGGCGGAGGAGACTAGGAGAAGCTGGAGAAGGATGGCGGTCGTGGTGGTTGTGGTGGTGATAGTGGTGATGATGATGATGATGATGATGATGGGGACGAGCATGAGGATGATGGGGAGGAGAATAGAGTGACAAGGAACAAATGAAGGAGCAGGAGGGGGGACGTGGAGAAGGGGGGACATGAGGAGCAGCAGCTGAGATGACCAGCGAGGAGGAGGACATCCAGCAGCCGCAGACAGGAGCATGAGGTGGATTGTGGCAAAGATGATGACCATGGTCATGGTGATGGTGATGGTGATGATGTTGTGCATGATGAGGATGATGATGGTGATGATGGTTATAATGGTGGCAGTGATGGTAGTGCCTATGACGACGACGTCGACGACGATGACAATGAAGATTATGCTGATGGTGATGATGACGACGACACTGGCGATGTCAATACTGATCTTCATGATGATGGTGATGTTGCTGATGATGCTGATGATGATGCTGATGTTTGTGAATAGGACGAGGACGAGGACGATGATGATGATAATGGTAATACATGCTGATGGTGATCATGATTCTGGTGACGATGATCAGGATAATGATGATGATCTGCGGTGATGATGATGGCGACGACGACGATGCTACTGATGGGGATGATTATCATGATGGTGGTGGTGACGATGATTATGATTTTGGTTCGGATGATAGTGAAGAAGAGGAAGTAGCTGCTATTGCTCATGCTGATGATGAAGGTGCTGCTGCTGCTAATGTGAATGATGATGATGCTGATGAGGTGGATGAAGATGAAGATGATGATGATGATGATGATGATGATGATGATGATGATGAGGATGAGGATGAGGATGAGGATGATGATGATGATGATGATGATGATGATGATGAGGATGAGGATGAGGATGAGGATGATGATGATGATGATGATGATGATGATGCTGATGTTGCTGCTGATGATGATGATGATGCTGATGCTGATGCTGATGCTGATGATGATGATGATGATGATGATGATGATGATGATGATGATGATGATGATGATGATGATGATGATGATGGTGGTGGTGGTGGTGGTGGTGATGATGCAGTTGCTTATGATGATGGGTGTCCTTGTATTGGCAGTGGGGAGGAGGAGGGATGCGTGAGGAGGAGGACGACGAAAAGGCCTCCTTTTCTTGTCCCTACGCCTCCTTCTTTCTCGTCCTCCTTCTCCGCTTCACTCCTACTGCTCTTCCCCTCTCCAGGTCCCTTCCCTCCCCCGCAAGCCTCCTTCACCTCCGTGCCTCTCCTCCTCCTCCTCTTCCTTCTCCTCCTCCTCTTCGATCCTCGATCCTCCTCCTCCCCCTCCTCCTCCTCCTCCTTCTCCTCCTCCTCCTCCTCCTCCTCCTCGTCGATCCTCGATCCCCCTCCTCCTCCTCCTCCTCCTCCTCCTCCTCCTCCTCCTCCTCGTCCGCCTCCTCCTCGTCCTCTTCGATCCTCGATCCCCCTTCTCCTCCTCCTCCTCCTCCTCCTCCTCCTCCTCCTCCTCCTCCTCCTCCTCGTCCCTGCTTCCTCCTCCCTGCTTCCTCCTCCTCCTTCTCCTGGCTCCGCCAGTTTTGGGCCACCACTCTTCGGCGCGACACGCTGTCAGCTCGCATGGCACTGCGTGTCGCGGGGGCCGCCGCCGCAACGCGCTAAGAGAAAGGTCTGACCGTACCCCCCTACAGTCGGCCCAGATTAGTAGGTCGACCCTGCCAAATCAAGGGTACCCTTGTGTCCTGTGTCTCGCGACACGTGCCTTCTTACACTCCTGTGACGATGTGGCCCTCGGAAGAGTCTTGTGTCCTCTCGCGTGTCCTGTCCAATCAAGGCCGACTGTACTCTCCTGCTCGCCTCCTGCGTCCTTTCAAAGCTCCCCCGCCCCCCCTGCTGCCCCTCTTCTGAGAGCCCCGAAGCTTCACGGCGGGGGGCGGTCAGGGACAGCTGCAGATTCGCGCCTCAGGGGAGCCAGAGTCACCCTGGACCGCAGCCATCCCGGATAATTTCGGGCGTCCAACACTTTCCCGAGTCATCATGGCTGGGGGCAGTCAGGGGTAACTACGGATTCGCGCCTCGGGTGCCCAAACCCGAGCATTTTCTTTGGGTGGAGGGCAAAGGGTGAAACCTGAAATGCCGCTTCGATTGAGTTTCGAGGTTCGAACCTGCAGAAGGTGAATCACAAGACATATTCATCTTCGAGGTGCAGAAGCCCATATGGATTTCACTCTGAGCCCTCCACCCGGAGAAAATGCTCAGCAAACCAGAAGTACCCCGGACCGCAGCTATCCTGGACAGCCCGGACGTCCGTTTTTCCCCCTGCTCCTTCTCGGTGCACTGGCGCTCGCCGTCGTCCTGCCCCTCGCGCGCCCCGCTTCCTGGGGGCCCTCGCCGGGCCCCAGAAACGTCCCCTCGTCGTGAGAAACGTCGGGGCGACAGAAGGGGAGGAGGGAGGACCCTGACACATCCTCTAGTTGTGAAGAACAAGATATGAACCAGACGGGCAATTTTTTTGCTCCGTCTCGGCCTCCGGCGATCCAGGAGGAAGCGCGGGTCCGTGGGGAAGGGGCCGAGGCCTCGAGGGGCCCACGCCGTGAGAGAGAAGATGGCGTCGGGGATCCGGTGACGAGGGGCCTGGTCGAGCGTGCCGGCGTGCGCGGTGGAGCGCCGAGCAGTCCGGCGGAGCGCTGGCCGCGCCCCTGCCCCCGGTGTGGCCCGCTGGACGGGCGCCTGCGGGGCGGCCCGCCGTGCTGGCGGCCTTGCCCGTGCCGCGTTGCTCCGGCTGCGGGGGTCTCGCGCGGTGCGGTCGTTCCTGCCATCTTCGCGACGCTGGGCTCGTTGGCGCGCTCGGCCTCCGCTGCTCATCCCTTTCCTCATCCCTCGTTGCCTCCTCCTCCTCCTCCTCCCTCCCGTCCCGACCCCCTCGCGTGCATGCGCTCTTCCTCCCCCCTGCCTCCCTCCTTCTGTCCTTATTATGACTCCCCACAGAAGCCCACAGTCCCTCCTGTCCCCCTAAGGCCTTCCTTCTGCTTGTTATCCGCCTGGGGGGAAGGGACGGGAGTGAGTAAGTATGTGTGTGCGTGTTTGTATTGCTCGACTGGCTCTCGCCTCGGCCGCATGCCCCCGAAAAGTGCGCTTGTGCGTGTGTTACTACCCCTGCATCCGGACAATTTGCAATGCCGTTGCCTGGCCTGCCCGAGGGCGCGTGCGGACTGCCTCTGCCGCGCTGCGACGTAAAAGTGTGCGTGTGTGTCCTGTGTGTGTGTCCTGTGTATGCCGGCCGCTTTGCTTTGTAGCGCTCCTGCATCGCTGCCACGCTGGAGCGGATCGTCCCGCCTCGCTGCAGACGGAAAAGTGTGTGTGTGTGTGTGTGTCCAGCCCTTTTGGACAACCCCTGGTTTCAGGCAAAGCCTAAAACCAGCCAGAAAGCCTGCAGCTCACTGCAAGCCACGACGGCCGGGCCCGCAGGACCACCCGACGTCCCAGGAGGAAGCTCGCCACAGAGCAAAGCCCAGCCTCAAGACCCGAGGGAGACCGCATCGGACCCACCCCGGGCTAACGCCCTGGGCATAGGTCGCCTCCCCGACCACCGAGCACACGGGCCCTGAAGCCCAGAGCCGGGCAATGTGTGTGTGTGTCCGCCGTCTCCGTCTTCGGACGCTGCCTCAATCTTGCTCCCCACCCTGCCCCCGGGCGGCATGCGCGGTCGATCCAAAGTGGTCTCTCGTCTTAGCGCTGCGCGCGAGGCCGCCATCGCCAGAAAGTGTGTTTGTGTGTTTCGGACGCTGCCTCTCAATCTTCTCACTCCCCACCCTGCCGGGGTGGTATGTGCGGCTGGTGCGAAGCGGTCCCGCGTCTGAGAGCCGGGCCGCGCGCGTTAGCCGAGTGCCGTCTGCTCGGCTTGCTCCGCCTCGTGGCTGCGCGCGAGGCCGTCCGCGCAAAACTGTGTGTGAGGGTGTTGTGGGTGTATTTTCAAACGCCGTCTCACTCTTCTCACTCCCAACCTTTCCTGGGTGGCGTGTGCGATCGATCCAAAGTGGTCCCGCGTCTTGGAGCCGGGCCGGGTGCGTTAGCCTAGTGCCGTGTGCTCGGCTTGCTCCGCCTCATCTCTGCGCGCGAGGCCGCGATCGCCAAACACTGTGTGTGTGTGTGTTCGGATGCTGTCACAAACTTCGTACCCCGCACCCTGCCAGGGTGTTAGTTATGTGCGGTTGATCCAAATGGTCTAACGTCTGAATGCCTGGCCGCGTGCGCTCGCTCGCTCCAACAGCTCGACTGGCTCCGCAACGTCGTCGCGCGCGAGGCCGCGAACGCGCAACATGTGTATGTTTGCGTGCGTTTGTGCGTGTGTGTGTGTGTGTGTGTGTGTGTGTGTGTGTGTATGTGTGTGTACGTGCGTGTGTGTGTGTGTGTATGTGTGTGTGTGTGTGCGTCTGTCTGTGTCTATCTGTCTGTGTGTGTGTGTTTGTCTGTGTGTCTGTGTGTATGAGTGTATGGAGGGAAGGTCCCGTCCTCCCTTCGTCGGCGCCGTCATCAGTGTATTCGCTCCGCAACGCCATGATACGTGCTACCGCTCGTCATGCCGGCGCTTCTCCTCCACCTATTCCTCTCGCGTGCTCTCACCCGTGCCCTCCTCATTCACATTTTGCTCCACGCATCGGCATCCCTGGGGCTGCGACAGGTCTGTCAGGGCGCCGGGAGCCTGGCGCCAGGGCCTCGAACTCCCCGGCCAGAGGGCCGCTCCTGCAATGCCCCCGCCGCGTGGGGACCTTCCACCCCGAGAGGAAGCGTAGGCTCAAACTGGGCTTTTACAGTCGAGCCTCGGATTAAGCGACCTCCTCCCGAACCGTTGGGCCAGCGTTTCCTGATCGTCTTGCCGCAAGCTGGCCGAGCTTTTTGGGGGCACGTTTTCGCCCCCCGAGCGTTCACGGCAGAAGTTGGCCAAGATTTGCTCTCAGGATTTTCCTGGAAGCTGGCCCAGGTTTCTTACACGCCACGTTTCTTGATCATCTGTTCGGCCGTGTCTTCCCGAGGGTGCCGTGGCGTCCTCGCCGCTTCGGCCTGTGCTTGGCCGCTTGCGCGAGCCAGCCTCTGAGGGTACCTTCTGGTGGTTGGCGCTCATTCGGCAAGAAGTGACGGGGGGTCATTTAGGGCACACTGGAATCCTTGGAAATTGGGCAGCGCGCCGCTCCACAAGTCCAACCTGGACGTCCGAGGCCCTTGCGTCCTACCGCGCTCAAGCTGCGCTGTAGAGTCTTACGGTCTCCATACGCATCCTCGTCGCCATCCAGCTTCAGCTCCACGTGCGCCGGAAGGGCCCGAAGAGGCCCGGGCCCACGGTTTCACATGCGCACATGCGGCATCCCTGGCCTCAATGTCCACGGGGCTGCGCTCTCCGGCTGAGGATCACCCTGCCCGTTTTCGTCTTCCCTCTGCTGCCAGCGGCCTGCGGCGCCTCGTCCATGGCAGTCGCCGGCATGTTCGGCCTGAGCGCTGGAATGGCCGGTGCAGTTCGGCGACTCATCTTTGCCGTGGCAGTTGCCTTCGGACTGTCTGCGGGGAGGTCATCGTTGCCTTGACATTGAGTGGTGCACCAGAGTGGTGCACCAGGTCACTGGTCTCACCAGGAGGGGTTCAGGCTCCCCAGGGCCCTTTCACCTCAAGACTTATATCGGGCATGTCCCTCTGCAGGGGGAATATGCAAGAATAGCAATAAATAGTCCGGGGGCGATGTTTCGATTGTTTTTTCGACTATTGTTGAATATGTTCTGGCATTTTTTCGCTCTTCTTCCAGAATTCGCCTGTAGGGGAGCATGCCTGACCTAACTCAAGACCTTCTTCCTCTCCGTCTCCCCCCTTCTCTTCGGCAGGCCATTGGGGGCGACGTGTGCGGCAAGGGGCGGTCCAGGCAGGGCCCCCGCGTCGCGGGATGGACGTGTCGGCATCCCCCCCGACATCTTCGCGTCGTATCAAATCGCGGCGCAAGGTTCTCGCTCCTTTTGGGCCTCCGTGGGCCCGCACCAGGCACCCGGGACCCGGGCCGTACGCAACGAGTCATTATGAAAAAGCAGTCTCAGGGCATTGGTCCAGACCTTTGGGGAGCTACGCTGTGGAACAACCACGGCGTCGGATGCCTTGGTCTTCCCCAGCGGAAGCTGGCGGGATGTCGGCGAGAGGCGGCGAGAGTGAGCATCGGCCATCCGAGAGATCCACGCTGCGTGCATCCAGGGCTGCTGGAACGCACCACGTCTTGGGGGAGCCAAAAAAGTGTCGACGACACGCCGCCGGGGGGAACCACCCATCAGCGTGTTGCTGCTGAAGGAACACGGGGACTTCGGAACACGAGCGTAGGAGCAAGACGCTGACGGGCTCTCGACGGCGTCGCGTCATTGGTACTCTCTTGAGCATGCGAGGCCTCGAGACTTTTGAGTGCGGGCTCCCTCGAAGTCCTCGCCCCCTTTCCCTCGGCAGGCTTTCCAATCGCGAGTCGTGGGTCGATGGCTCCCGGGGCTCGCGGCGAGGGGCCCCTCGGAGGCCGCAGTCGGCCCTCGAGGCTGCCCGCTGTGGTGCTTGCCGCGGCGGAGGCACGTCTGGGCTCTTCCCCTCCCGAGGTATGCCCGCGGCGGCAGGCCAGTCCTGCTCTCCCCCCCTTCCCCTCCGTGGGCTGGACTGCGAGGCCACCGAAGCTCGGCGGCGAGCGAGGGGGGGAAGCGAGAAGGAGAAGGCCTTCTCAGAAGGTTCGGAAGTCCCCCGGCCGTCTGAGAAGTTTTCTAAGCCCTCCCCGAAGGCAGAACATACTTCTCAGAAGGCGCGAGGGCTTCTGAGAAGGCCCGCCGCCTTCTGAGAAGGCCTTCTCCTTCTCACTTCCCCCCTTCGCTCGCCGCCAAGAAGCAGGAAGCCTGTCGGCGAAAGGCGGCGCGCAGCTGGCAGAGAATGAGCTTGCACTGGCAAGCCTGCACGGGCGCCACGGCAGGGGCCCCAGGGGTCGGAAGGAACCAGCGTTAAGTCGGGCCTGTCCCTCTACAGGAGTGATATTCAACAATAGTCAACAAATACCCTGAGGGTTTGACTATTCAAACATAGTCAACAAAACTAGTTGCTTCGCTATTCCAATATCTGTTATGACTATGTCTTTATTTGTCCTCCAAAATCCGCCTGTATAAAGGGGACAGCACTACGACACGACACGAGGACGGCGCGGAACGATTGCATAGCAGGGAGCGGCGATGCAGCAGCAGCAGCAGCAGCAGCAGCAGCAATCCAGTCCAAATCCCCTCCGTGGAGGTCCAGCGCATCTCCATGCGCACGGACGGCAAGGGTGACTGCAAGGTTGGGCCTCGCGTAATAGGGGGGGGCTATGAACGGGGGGGGAGAGGAGGAGGAGGAGGAGGAGGAGGAGGAGGAGGAGGAGGAGGAAGGAAGGAGGAGGAGGAGGAGGAGGAGGAGGAGGAGAGGAGGAGGAGGAGGAGGAGGGAGGAGGAGGAGGAGGAGGAGGAATGGGGGGGCACCGCGGGCTGCAGAAAAATTGCCGTTCAGGACCCCTGAATGGGGCCTGCAGGGCCAGAGAAGTGCACCCTTCTCCCCTCCACTTATCGCCCCCCACTGCTCGTCGGTCGTTGAAGTTCTGTATATGTGTCTCTGGACTCCCAGGTCCCAATCTACTTTTTGGGCGCCTTCCTGTTTCAAGAGTGGAGTGGTGCTCCCTCCCCCGTGCCCTTCAGCGGGGCGGGCGGAAGCCCGATATACTTCCAACGTCTTCCTACTCCATGTGTCTGCCCATTTCTTCTGGGGGAACCAAGAAGTACCGATACCGCTACTCCCCGGTCCTCGGGGTGCGTTCTGACCAGAAGTTCGAGGCGAATCCAGCGGTGGCGACGAGGGCCTCCAAGGAGGCCCCAACAAGTGAAAACGAGGAAACGGTAGAGGTATGGGTGCCTTCTCTTGCTCCGAAGCGATGCCCCGCAAGGGCCAGTTCGAGGAGCTGAGCCAGTGCCAGGACCACTGCGTCGCGCACGAGCTCTTCGGGCACCTGAAGTGAGGGTCGGGGGAAGGAGCAGCGACACCACCACCACCGGGGGGGGGGGCCCCTCCAGCGACGAGGTCCACGAGGCCTCCCCGAGCTGGGGGATAGCGGATGTCTCGAGCGAGAGGGGGGGGACCACACCACCAGGGGGACTACCTCTGGCTCCTCGCGCTGGTGGTCCCTCGTGTTAAGTCGGGCATGTCCCTCTACAGGAGGAGAATTCAAAAATAATGTACAAAATAGTCTGGGGACGATGTTTTGATCATCTTTTTTGACCATGCTTGGATACTTTTCTTGCCTGTTTTTGATTCTTCCCCACAAAATCTGCCTGCAGGAGGATGTGCCCGACCTGTCCTTGGTGGTGTTGGTGTCGCTTGTCCATGCTCCTGTGAGGACGGGCCAGGCGGCCGGCACTCACGACCGGGGGGCGGGGGGTCTGCACGAACGAAATGGGTACGTACGGAAAGAAGGGGTACAATGCCCGACAGCAGTTCCTGTTCGTTCCGAACAGGACTCGCTGTCTGCGCCGCCGCGGCCTGTGTCCAATCTGAGACAGAGGGCCGCCCGCCCAGCAGCGGCCGCTGTCGGTTTGGGGCAACACGTGTTGTCGGGCACTGTGCCCATTTTTTCCGTACCCGCTTCGGGCGTCCAGAGAGGGGGGGGGGCGGGGGCGGGGATGGCGGCGGGGCCCCCCTCGCGGGCAGGGGGGGCGCCCCAGGGCCTGCGCGCGCCCGCCCTTTCCAGGAGCAGGATGGGCGGAGGGGAGGGGGGAGGGAGGGAGGGAGGGAGGAGGAAGGGAGGGGGAGGGAGAGAGAGGAGGTGGAGGAGGAGGGAGGAGGGGGAGGGAGGGGGAGGACGGGAGAGGAGGGAGGGAGAGGAAAGTGGGGTGGGGAGGGAGGGAGGGAGGGGAGGGCGGGAGAGGAGGAGGATCAGAGCACCAGGGCGCCCTCGACGGCGCGAAGCTGTTCGCGCTCCGCGGTTCGGCTCCGGCTGCTCCTCGTCCTCCTCTTTTCCCCTGGGGGGGCGGCGCGAGAGCGCGAAGCGATTCGCGCTTCGCGCAGCGCGAAGCGCGAAGTTAGGCACCCTCGGAGATGAGGATCATATGAGAGAAAGGGGCCGTTCCCTAGTCGCCACGTCTTGGTTCGCTTGGAAGTCTTGGCTGTGGGGAGCAGCGGCGTCGGTATCCTGTTTGTCTGCCGAGAGGGGGGGAGGGGGGAGGAGGGGGAGGAAGGGGACGGAGCGGGGAGGGCAGCAGGAGGGAGCGGGGGCATGTCGAATATGGGTTGGCCCATCTCTTAGGAGGCAGGCCCCAGGAGGCAGGGTGAGCCGCAGAGGCAACGGCGGCCGCCACGCCAGGCAGCAGGCGGAGTGGGGGAAGGGCACGCGTGCGCGAGCCACAGCACCGTCCTTGCATGTTTTGTGTATTTGGGGGTATTTTCTAATTTTTCATCCAAAATCCCCCTGTAGGGGGACAGGCCCGACCTAAGAAGAGTAGGGGGAGGGCGAGCACGACCGATCGCAACCACTTCGGACCGATCGTACACCACTTCGGACAGATCGCAACCAGTTGCGATCGGTCCGAAGTGGTTGCGATGTTTTTGAGTCGTTTCAATAAGGTTTTGATTAAGGAAGAGATCATCAGAGCGCTTCTGGGTTCAATGAGTTCCCTTAAGCCGCCACATGAGAATCTGAAGAAGCGGTTGCGATCGGTCCGATCACAGACGGCCGATCATGATCTCAGCTAAACACTTGTATTGGAGCTCGAACGTGGCCATGATCCGTATACGATTTCTATGTGATTCGTATACGGCTGAAACCGAATCTGAGCGAAAACACGTGGCGTGAACCAAATTGCATCTCAGGAGGGGGAGGAGGAGGAGGAGCAGGAGGAGGAGGAGGAGGAGGAGGAGGAGGAAGGAGGAGGAGGAGGAGGAGGAGGAGGAAGGAGGGGGAAGGAGGAGAGAGGAGGAGGAGGAGGGGGAGGAGGAGGAGGAGGAGGAGGAAGAGGAGGCGGAGGAGGAGGAGGAGGAGGAGAAGGAGGAGAGGGAGAGAGGGAGGAAGAGGAGGAGGAGAAGAGGAGGCGGAGGAGGAGGAGGAGAGGAGGAGGAGGAGGAGGAGGAGGAGGAGGAGGGGAGGGGAGGGGGAGGAGGAGGGGGAGGGGGAGGCGGAGGAGGAGGAGGAGAACAAGGAGGAGGAGGATGAGGAGGAGGAGGAGGAGGAGGAGGAGGAAGAGGAGGAGGAGGAGGAGGGGGGGAAACGGAACGGGCAGGATGGCAAGGCGGGTAGACGCGGCGGCCCCAACCCCCAAAGTCATGACCTTTCCAGGACGTCGACCCCCAGAGGTCTGGACGAATTCCCCTACGGTAGGTTCGTGCGGCGTCGGCACCCGCAAGGCTTTTGGCACCGCGTGGATCGTTCAACCTTGAATCGATCGCGGCACCGATCGTTCAATGTTGAATTTCGTCGGGTACAGTGGGCCCAACGTGTCCTGCGGTGCTTCCGCGTTGCAAAATGCAGCCTTGAACGCCTTCGCCAACGTCGCCAGCGCGCCAACGCCGCATGAACCTACAGTAGACAAGCATTGCATACTGAGTCACTTTTGGACGGCCCCTGGGCCTAGCGATGGCCCCCCGAGCCCGAAACCCAAACAGATGTTGTCACGACGCCAGGCGGTCTGGGCCTGTGGTGGTTGCGGGAAACATGGCTGGGGGACGTGTGCGCCCTGCGCGGCCTGCGAGACCTTTGGCGCCCGTGCGACACGCAGGACCTGTGGGACCCGTGGGGCCTGCGGGGCAGGCCTCTCAGAAGCCTCTCAGAAGCCTCTCAGAAGCTTCGCAGAAGCCTCTCATAAGCCTCTCAGAAGCCTCTCAGAAGCCTCTCAGAAGCCTCGCAGAAGCCTTTCAGAAGCCTCTCAGAAGCCTCTCAGAAGCCTCGCAGAAGCCTCTCATAAGCCTCTCAGAAGCCTCCCACAAGCCTCTCAGAAGCCTCTCAGAATACTCCCACAAGCCTTTCAGAAGCCTCTCAGAAGCCTCTCAGAAGCTTCCCACAAGCCTCTCAGAAGCCTCGCAGAAGCCTTGCAGAAGCCTCGCAGAAGCCTCTCAGAAGCCTCCCACAAGCCTCTCAGAAGCCTCTCAGAAGCCTCCCACAAGCCTCTCAGAAGCCTCAGAGAAGCCTTTCAGAAGCCTCCCATCCCACAAGCCTCCCAGAAGCTTCCCACAAGCATCTTAGAAGCCTCCCACAAGCTTCGCAGAGGCCTCAGAGAAGCCTCTCAGAGGCCTCAGAGAAGCCTTTCAGAGGCCTCAGCAGGAGCTCTTGGATCGGTTGCAAGCCGGTGTTTGCTTGACAGGTTTGTATAGGAATCCGTTAGGTTGCGATCAGTCTGTTTCCAGTGGTTGCAATCCGACCGAAGCAGTCCCTGAACGGTCCGAAGTGGTTGTGATCGGTATTTTTCCCTAGGGGGAGGAGGGGCGAGGGGGAGGGAAGGGGGAGAACGGGGGAGGAGAGGAGAGGAGAGGAGGGGGCGAGAAGGAGGCTCGGCGTCGTCGCTCGCGGCCGAGAGCTGGTGGCCATCGGCACGTGCGCTGCTTGCCCGGCTGGCATCTGAGATCTCGCTGGCCCGCAGCCCCCTGGAAGCCGGCAAGCTTCCAGCCCGCCTCAGAGGGCTCCTGGGCGGCGAAGGAGCGAGGTGGAGGCGGAGGGTTCGGAGTGGGGCGAGGAGGAGGGGGAGGAGAAGTAGGATAATACGGGTAGGATGGGAACGAGGAGTCGAGGATGTTGACAATATTGATGATGACGGAAACGAGATTGATGATGATGGCAAGGATGATGGCAATACTTACGACGATGATGGTGGTGATGGTGATGGTTCTATGATGATGATGATGATGATGCTGATGATGATGATGATGATGATGATGATGATGATGAGGATGATGATGATGGTGGTGGTGGTGGTGGTGATGGTGATGATGATGATGGTGGTGGTGATGATGATGATGATGATGGTGGTGGTGGTGGTGGTGATGATGGGGCTTACGTTGATGATGATGGAGATGACGATGACTTTTAGGCTGCTGCTGATGACGAGGAGGAGGATCATCAAGGGGATGAGGATCTGGATTGTAATCATGAGGATGGTGTGGACGAGGAGTAGGATGATGTGTACGGAATGGGTACTATGATGAGTGTTTGGATGATGGTGATGATGACATTGATGATGCTGTTGACGGCGATGTCGGCGATGATGATGTCGATGATGAATGTGGTGATGCCGATGATCATAATGATGATGATGTTGGTGGTGATGATGATGGTATCGCTGAAGCTGGTGATGCCGATGATGACGATGGCGATGAGGACGATGCTGATGATGCTGCTACTGCTGATGATGGTGATGCAGCTGAGTATGACGATGGTGACAATGATGATCACGATGGCGACGATGATGGCGATACCAATGACGCTGATGTTGATGCTGCTGATTCTGCTGATGATGGTGGTGATGCTGATGATGACGATGATGCCGACGACGGCGATCATGATGACGACGATGATGATGATGATGATGATGGTGGTGATGATGATGGTGTCAATGATGATGATGATGTTGATGATGATTATGAAAATGATGACAATGACGACGATGATGAAGAGGAGGATGCGATGATGATACCGATGTTGACTATGACGGCGAGAACAATGATGACTGCGAGGACGATGATGATTCGACTGCTGCTTATGGTCATGCTGATGGTGATGACGACGATGGTGGCACTATTGATTATGTTGTTGCTGGTTATGTTGACGGCGACGACGGCGATGATGGTGGTGACGATTATGAGGTTGAGGATGATGCAGATGAAGATGAGGATGATGATGCTTCTGCTGATGAGGATGCGGATTATGGTGAAGATGGTGATGCTGATTATGCCGATGACGATGCTGATGATGACGATGATGCTGACGATGTTGATACTGATTCTGATGTTGATAACGATGACGATGCTGATGATGCT